TAAGAAACCGAGCAGGAATTAGTCCACTTCACTTATAGAACCTCTTCTGACTACAAACTACTCTTAACATGACTGAACACCTAGAAAACAGACAGAATCAAGCATGAATGCAGTAATAGACAAAAAGCAGCCTTTAGCCTAATTTATCATCCCTCTACAGGTCCAACAAGGCTGTAAAGGACTTTCTAACATTGACAGCCAACATTACCAGTCAATGTTAGGGAGTTAGTAGCTGTTTTTATTAGTGCCCTTAGAAGAAGTGTCTGTTCTGACGATTTGGTAGCAGATATGGTGCCTTGCCTCTACGCCCTGAATCCTTAAAAACCCTCCTGGGTGGGTGACCTGGTTGGATGAAAAACACAGTGGCAATAAGTAAAGAATTTAAGTATAGTGATGAGGCAAAGGAAAACAAAGAAAGTGAAAGTGAAAGGAAGGGTCGTGTAAGGTGAAGTATTTGTGTTGACATTAAGGTTATTTTAAACTAAACTAAAACAAAAAACTGAAAACGGAACAAATTAACTAAAATTAAAGTAAAGGCATTGGAGTAGAAATAAAAATAAATTTAAAAAAACTAGACAGAATTTTTTTTTTCACTGTAAAATTGTCAGTGCCACAATTTTAAGTTGAATTGAGGGTTAAAAACATAATTGATTAACAATACTGTGAATTGGGGAAATTGGTTGGGTACTACTGCTGCTACTATCCCAGATTCTTTTGCGTATGAGTGTTGGGTTAGAACACAGCTTAAATTAATAGATTTCCAAGCATTGCTTTTTAATATAGTGATGACAAAATGACCCAATGCTTGTTATTTGGTGGTGTTACTGTTACATATGAACATATGAAGAAATTAAACTAGCAAGCTTTATACCAGTTGTTCATAATTGCAGACATCTAACAGTGTGTGGTAAGTAAATGCATTCAAATAAAATCAGAGTTTAAAAAAAATGCTTCAAACAACAGAAGTATCGGAAAACTGTGAAACGACTTTACCAGCATAATCTTTTGTCCTTCCCATGGAAGCTCATTCACTCATAGCGGTATGAAGGTTCATGAGATTTTACAAATGATAAATACTGAAGGCACGTCCAACCAGATTAACAACATATTCACACACCTTGAGGTACATGTTGTTGCTATTATTAAACTAGCCTTATCTTTGGTTTAAGATGCCAAAGATCGTTTGTGTAAATATGAAATGAGCTTCATCTCACGATAAACCTTATGACCTGTTGAAGAAAAAAGTTGAATAATAAACAATAAATGCAAATATAGATTGCAATAAAAACTTTGACCTAGTGCAGATAAGGCACCCAGGTACTGTTGGGTTCCCTTTTTTTTTTTTTTTTAATGAGGCAAGACGAATAAACTCAAAGTATAAGTTTTCAAAATTTACAGAGCAGTTGAAGGTTGAGGTTAAAACCACGTGCCAACCAGACAAAGG